AAGAGATTATTTTCAATTAAGTGCTATGCTGTGACTTACTTGGTATTATTACCACCAACAGCACACACATTTCGAATACGGTTTAAATCCGATTTTATCAACAAAAAAAAAACTTAATATTTAAGTAGCAATGAAATTAGCATTCTAATAACCTGTTTGACTAAATACTATAAAATATCATTTTTATAAAATTTATATTTTGAATATTGTGCCGAATGTTGTTATTTTGGAAAACCGTTGGAATTTATTTTGGTCGCTGTAAGTTCATTCGTTCTCCAAGTGTTCATCAATCATTCTTTCAAAAACTCTTCGCGGCTACTCCTCCTCCTTGCTGCTGGTGTGAGTGTCTGAACGAACGAAAATAAATAAGGACAACGACCTGCTAAGAGAAAAATTTAAATAACGCGTTAATTTTGCGCTTGTGTTTGTGTTCCGTACCCGCCTGTCGTTCTTCGCGGCTCAGCTCTTCTCTCCTCGCTGAGATATGCCGGTAAATTAAGTGTTGTTAGTTTATGCTTTGTACACTTCGCGCACGACTACGAAACATGAAATTTACACGGCGCACCAGCCAGTAGCACTGCGCCCGCGAACAGTGTATTCTAATCCGGAATCTTTCAATATTTCAATATGCCATTAGGACGTCCTCGTATTTACCGATCAGTTCATTAATACTCCACTCGAACTGGCCGCGAGTATATTATGCATTAAATACATTAATGGCCTATTCTATAATTATACATTTATAATGAATCCATTTATAATTTAACCGTAATATATTGAACGCAATTAATTTTATTGTGTGTGGTGATAAATTGTTAATACAAAAAATCACAAAAATGTTTTGAGATAGTTTTTAGGATTCCTAAAAAAAACAACTGCCACATATGTTATAAATTTGGTTGGTGCACTGATGCACTGATGCAATTGGTTGTGTTTGAATTTCTTTGTAATGTAGCAGGTAATTACCTTTATAATTCAATTATAATAATATTGTTTCACATTTTCTTCAAAAATTTTCTTCATTGTATTCTTGATGTATCCAAAAAGGCTGTTAGCTGACTTCCCAAATTTTAAACATTCCGACATGCCCCTCTTGTCGAAATTATAATAATCACCCATGGTGGTAATCGACAATAATGCTCTCCTCGTTTACGTGCCCCATGTACTCGTACTTATGTGATGGTTTCAAACGAAAAATAATAGACATTTAAATATCTGTTTACAATACGGCGTTGCGCTGTGAACACGAAGCGTGGTGTTCTGCGCAAGAAGAAAAACCGAAAACAGAAGGTTAAATTATCCAAAACGAAGCGTAACCGCATAATTTGTGTTTGTGCGCCGGTTGCTCGTCTTCTATTGTGGGTGTCGTAACGAATTATTCCACGCATTTTCCACACATACAATGTTTGTATGTATATGAATGTGTCTACGCACATGTTGGAGGACTCCTATCGACGTGATGCGGATGCACGGCCCAGCACGGATGGGATGCGTAGACAAAAGGGCATTTTGAATCGCCCATGGGAATAGCATTAAACTGTCCACTCGGCGCTCGTATTATTACGGCCGGTGCGCAAGTCGGCCCCGACGCGTATAATTATAACATTTTCTTGTCAACGAGTGCGCGGTACGATGCGGATACGGGAACACTTGCGTCGCTTTCATGCTTGCCAACTGAGCGAATAGAAATGTTGAAATGTTACCCACGAGGATGTTGCGCATATATACGCTCGATGTATAGAGGCATGCGTTGTAATTGTCGGTGTTTCTCTGTTTGCTTTTGGATTTTTCTATGCCTTCGGACGCATACGGCGACCGCGCGATGCGATAATAAATGGCGCGGGAATGAGGTACATCGGGGCGCTAGATAATCAGTGCTACCGTCTTGTTATGCGTAACGACCCAGCATGGCCGGCAGAAACGGTAATTTCTAGCGTTTGCTAATAGAGGGTTATCAATTCGAAATGAAATATGTTTCTGTTGATATGCCAGGGCGCATGTTATGTTCGTGTGCGAGGCGGAACGCGCGCCGGCAAAGTAAACACAAAAGACCGAAAAAAGTAATTAATAAACATGAAGACTTAACATGTCTTGACGATTTCATAAATATTTACTTCCAAATTGGAGTTAAGTAGTGTGCCTATCTTGATGGTGGGTGATTACTGATGTTAAGGTGGATGCTTTGAAGCAGATACAATAAGGCTTCACGATTTCATATTATCAGTTTTGAAGATGTTTTGCATAAATTGTCTTCAGTAAACTGTGAACAGGCTGTATATTCTCCGATAGTGATGGTGGGACCAACTTTAACTCAACAAAGATCCATCCCGGTCCGTTTGTTCGGGCGCATAAGAATTAGGAGGCCGCGACCATCACAGATCCTATAATCTATATGTTACACATATATTTATCATCCTCATATATTAAGTGGCTAAGTACACATGTCACGACTCCACGAGGCCCGTGGGCCAATGGCGGTGCACCAGAACACCCATGACGTGCGGTGGAGCCGCTGATCGCTCGGCGGAACAAAGCTGCGATTGGAATATGGGCGCGCGGCGTTTGCTTCGTTTCGTTCGCATTAATTACAACTTTCGAGAGGTTTTAATTACTGGCTACTACTAGGAACAAATAGGCGCTGCCCATTTCGCCGCATTTACGCCGCGCCAGCTTGCTAAACAAACAAAACAAGGGAATGTCTGCCAACAACCCGATGCCGTATGCTAAACGATTTTGATAAATGCCAGTGTTTACGTAATCTTCTACATCCTGAGTCTTTATTTCTGCATGGTGTATTTTAACGTCTGTGCGTCTGTTTGCTTGTTTCATGCTTTGCACTTTCTTATTGAAGCTTTCTGGGGATGGGTTTTTACTGAAGTCGTGAAAACAAGAGTTCAATTTCTGACCGCCGCGAGGTTGTGCAACAATATATCGGCGAGTTTTTTCGCAGTCGGCATTGTTGTACCAACAAAACACGAGAAATGCATGTTTTTCTCCTGTTGTGCGCGCAGAAGAAGCACAGCATCCGTGCGTGCGTGTTAGCCACCACGATGGCTGGCCATGCGGCAGAGCTGGTCACGAAGCGCCGACTCCTCTATAAAGTTCCCGATTATACGGCACGTCCAGGATAATCCGCGTTATGCTGGAGCCTAGCGCGGGTTCCTTGCGCCGAGCGATGAAACGTTACTCAACTGTGGCAAAAAATATCTAAAGCTCGTGCATCTATATTTCTTTGACTTGGCCAGCGAGTGCGCCGGCCGGAGGAGCAGCGCAAAACCCGAAGAATATAGAATACTTGCGCGATTTAAAATGATAATTTAATTCCATTAAAGAGTACACTTTTGTACGTCGTTCGTCGTAGATCAATCTCTAATTGGCATTCGCGATCAGCGTTCGTTGGCATTTACCATCGGAGTATTGCTAACGTTATGTGACAATATATTACTATATGGGAATAACATTTTCTTTATGCTGCGTCTTGTTGGAAAAAATGAAAATACGATGGAATGTATAACGTTATTATACGAAATTATCACATTGCAATATAGCTCCATAAAAATCCTACGGTCATGTACATAATATCTCAATGAAAATAAATTTCTAATACAAGAAAATATCATTGGACGAATATTGCTGCTGTACGTAACAGAAGTGCAGTATTGCAGTTTTCTATATTTTCCAAACCATGGATCTGCTGATGTTACTTTTCAGTTTGCCAGAACCGCATCATTAGCTCCAGAATTCAAACTGACTAAGGAGGCAGCAAGATCATGCGAACGATGAACGATGAGCTGTGTAAATGGGCGGATAAAACCGATCCGAGCCACGGCGATTGAGGCGACTATTTATAAGCGATCGGCTTTTATGAGCACTGACAGATTTGTGCCTGCGTCGGATGGACACGAGCGCCAGGATTGTTATTTTCCGTAGCATGGCGTGGCGCGTCTCGATCATTGGTTTTCGGCCACTCGATTTTCTCGTCGACCGCTTGTTTGCTTGCGTTCGTGTGTTTGTTTAAGGTGCAATTACCTTCGTCCCAGCCAGACGTTGTAATTACCAATCCCCAATTAAAATAATGGCTCCGATGCCATGAACTATTAACATTTCATCGGACAAACTTTTGGGCCCCGAATGGTCCAACCCCTCATTAACTCTCACGCGCAGCCAATCCATGCACGACGATGATGCACGCATCTTCTTCATGTACCTTGGTGTGCGCACACACCATATTCAATATGCATGCGTCGAACCCACTCAGGCCGAAGGGAACTTGCGCATTATTATAAAGACTCGTTTTACTTGCAAAACAATGATTTAACAGCATTCGCGCTCGATGTTGGCAGTTTGCAATTGGGCTCGGTAAGTATACACTCGGCGCAGCCATCAAACGATTGGCATACGCCCGTCGGAGCCGACGCGGAGACCCGCTTCGCAGACATGCGTCCAACAATATTTACTTACCGCGGAGAGTAGCCTAGATTTATCGACGTATGGTAATAAACTTTATTGACTTCCTAACATGGTTGCTTAATGTGTAATCATTGACTAGCGGACAGTGCGGCAGACCTGCATCAGCACCGGTTCCAGGACAAAGTAGAAGCCATGTTACTTTGTTCTTATATACTGCTGGACACCGGTTGGTCTTGCGTAGCAGCGGAACGAAGAAGCGGTGAATCTATTATTGGATATGTGTTCGTCCGCATCAATTTAGATTAATTGCCGATAGGTTTACTTTTCATTTTTTCGACGTCAGCCTGTCTTCGTAGACGCTGGCGCGCACCGTTTTATAAAATATTATCACTATTACGAGCATTAGTCGACCTTATCTGATTATGCGTGTGTTTGTTTAATACAAATCGGTGTCAGGTCAAAGTGTTGCATGCTTTTCTGTTGCATCATTTATGGCGACCATTCAACATTAACAAAGGATGGTCGACTAGGGATTAATGACATCATTTGGGTCAAAACAATTAATATTATGTTCGTTGTTTTTGTTTCAGTAAGAAATGGTTATTCCTGTGTACCAGTGGCCTTGGCTGAAGGGTTGGATATTAAATTGAACGCTGCTGTGAAGAAGGTGGAGTATAATCAACGCGGGGTCGAAGTTACAGTCTACAACTCCAAGAATACTCAGGTCCTCAACACGTATCACGGTAATTGCTCATATTTGAATATCTATCACACGCAAGCGCAACTAGCTTCTAGTGGTAGTCGAAATTCCTAGATATCACGCGATCTTTCTGCTTTTCTAACAAATCATGGCATCTATTATGGAACCGAGCTGGTTTCCCTTGCTTCTCCGCACGTCAGCTTTATCTTGTTTGCATCGCGCCGTGCCATGCGCTATTGTTTGTTTATTTAGTGCAAAGGCTGTTATTAAAAGCCATGTCTTCCTGTAATTAATTATTCATAAGTGGGTTTTAATTAGACTCACGACGTTAAAATTCGACAAGCATGTCTTGTTCAATGTTCAGGCTGCGGAGCGTCTTCTCTCAGGCCCTCGCACCATCGCTAACAGTTTGTTGCGGTATATTTGCGCAGGAAGTTATAAATAAACACTTAGCGCGTCTTCGACGTCGTGCAAACGACTCTCTGGTGTTGGTTGTTGTTTGCTTTTATTGTCGAGCGTCGAAACAATATGCTTGTTAGACAGACGGTCGATCCGCCCCGTTACGGTCACTTTCACGATTGGTGTTCCTTATCATAATATTGGTAAAAATATATATATATATATGCATGGCGCACCAAGCCAATTAGAATATTATTTGAGTCGGAACGAATGGGAACTGCGCGCGTTATCCGAAGGACATAGAAACAACTAGTTTCAACTTTGTTCAAACATTCGATATTTTTCACCATGGCGTTGGCAACGCATGTGAGATCCCACTACGAATTCCTTGGATGCTTGGAATAACGAAGGTGAATCGCTGCGCAGTCAATTGTAAATATTAAGGCAACAAATATCTTTATTGTTTCACATTAAAGTTATTATTTACGTTCACGGTTTGTCCTTATAATGAATTTGATAATGGCGATTTATATTCTGTGCGCTGAGTTTTGGATCGTTATTTTTTTAGCGGACGTTGTTTTGTGCACCCTTCCTCTTGGTGTGCTAAAGTTGGCTGCTGCATCTTCGAGCATCCAGGATAATACCGTCCACTTTTCACCACCTTTACCGGATTGGAAGACTTCAGCAATACAACGTTTAGGTTTTGGAAATCTCAACAAAGTAGTTTTGTGTTTTGAGCGAATTTTCTGGAATCCGCAAGCAAATTTATTCGGTCATGTTGGGAGCACCACTGCAAGTCGCGGGGAACTGTTTCTTTTCTGGAATCTTTACAAGGCACCAGTACTTTTGGCTCTTGTTGCTGGAGAAGCAGCTGCTATCATGGAAAATGTAACCGATGATGTTATCGTTGGAAGGTATATTATTATCAGTATTTTATTACCGAAATCGTGACCTTAATGCATTCATACTTTCTACAGATGTATTGCTGTATTACGTGGGATTTTTGGGCAGTCGGGTGTCCCACAACCGAAGGAAACTGTAGTCACTCGCTGGAGAGCCGATCCTTGGTCCCGTGGTTCTTACAGTTTTGTAGCAGTAGGAAGTTCTGGAAGTGACTACGATCTCTTGGCGTCTCCCGTGATTCCGCCAAATCCTGCAACTCCGACGGTAGCACCCTGTGGCCCAGCTCGTGTGTTTTTCGCTGGCGAACACACTATCCGGAATTACCCAGCCACCGTGCATGGAGCTTTCCTCAGCGGTCTCCGTGAAGCCAGCCGCATCGCAGATCAAATTATTGGAAATCCATGCCTGCCAATACCGGCCGAGTAGTGGCGACAATGGCCATGGTTTCCAATTTACACTCAGACATGTTTTATGTAAGTGCCATTTGCCATTCACACCGCTAATTGCCGTAATTTAATGCATTCCACCGTTAACTTCTTATTTTATCCTTAAATTTATTCAATAATTGTAATTGTTTAATTTTAATTTTATGTACGTGATTGGTGAAATAAATAAACGTTTGCTTCTTTTTAGACGAACAATTTATTATAGCGATGGGCGCAGTTAATCAGATGCGGCTATCGCAACGGCCAATCTTATTCTTATTGATAAATTGGATTAGATAGATATGTAGAAATATATTAAAGTTTTTATGTGCACCGCGTACGATTGTGGGGCCCGCGATGTTACAGGAAGTAATTTCGTTTATATACGATTCTCGAGCGTTCTACCAGAGCATACCCGTTTGGTACGCACCACGTTTTTGTTGGTTTGCGGTTCGGGTGACGCACAACAATGGTTTGTAATTTTTCAACTGGTCCTCGCACGCATTCGTTACTAAGCGCTCAACTCTTTGGTATCGACTCGGAGCTCGTTGCCGGTTGCTATTTTAAAACAACGGGATCCACCAGACATGAATCAAAACCTTTCAATATGCTAATGTCGGCTGGCCAACAACATCAATCATTGCGACACTGACATGACAAATCACCAGATGGACTCCCTCCAGTATACTGGCCGTAGCTTGGAGCGGCCCACTATGCGTTTTTCGGTCGGGCAGATACGTCGTGAGTTCAAATAAATCGGACCTAATTTACAAAAAATAAATGTGCTCACAAATGCTGCGAAAGGGCTCCAGTGTCCAGCGCCCAGCATCCGTTAATGATACGTACGATGCGTGAACATAGCTGGCATTGCCAGGATTTTGGAAAATGTTGATGCGCTGAGGCGCGTTAAGTAGCCGTCATCAGCATTTTTCTCTTCGCAAGTCCGAAAAACCGACAAATGTCGGCTTTGTTGGGGTCGGCAAGCCGAGCACGAAACATGCGAGAGCATAAAATGTCCAACTTTGCATTCAACATAAATATATGTATGTTTATAATTAAATGCGGGGCCGCAATTTAAATTAATTCGGTTGTGGAATTGCCAGCCGGACTGGCGGATGTTTCGGGCGGCTGTTAAATCCCTCGCGCGTCGAGTTTAACATTTTCTCTCTTGCGGCGAGAGATGGATAAATGGGATGACTTTCGGCTTTAACAAATCACGGAATTTCGATGGACGAAATTACGTTTTTAAAATTTAAATGGACTTTACAAACAAGTTCCTTTACATACTAGCCATCCTGCTCTCGCTCGTGGCAGTCGTGTCCAGCGAGCGAGAAGTGTGGTTTCGAGTGTGCCGCGCATAAACGGTACGTAAATACGCCGACTCCAAACGCGCGCGTATGCTAAACAAGTTCCACAAACCAATCCGTCAACAAGAAATAATGAAACGTCAGGCTCGAGTTTTCAACTCTCTCGATCTTCGCCTCTGCCGATGGCTTGTTCCAATGGCACTGCGCGTATGCATTTACAAACGCATACTAATGAGTCGGAGCCGGCCACTCTTCATGTACTTCATGCAGGCCCAAAAGGCACATGGCACAAGGACCCTGGGTAGTGCTTGATGCCAACAAGGTATGTACAAATGTTTACATAAGTTTTAGGATCTTTTCAGAGTCCCATTATTTTGCTGGCACCTTTCATCCAGACGGCTTAATAAAAGATTTTTCAAAAGGCAGTTGATCAATATGTAAAGTGATTTAGAAATCAATGTTCTACGGAAACTTGAATCTTCGTAAAGGTTTAGAAAACATTGGTACCCGTGACCTGATCCGTTGGGGGTTGTCCCATATAATTTGCCACTATTAAGACGTCATGAATGAGGGTAACGAGGGCTATAACTAGATGTGTTCGTGCACTGAGGAGAGGAAGATGCGCGTAAATCAGCTACCGATCTCCACTCAACAAGTCATCGAGAGGTTCGACCGACATGTCCCACGTTCAGGCATCGACGATTTTCGAGGTGAGTTAAGAGCATCGCACACAATTCATCGAGAGCATTCGACCTGTATAAAATAAAAACGTTGATTAAAATTTTAATCGGATCATTAATCTCAAGTTGGGCGGTGCACGCCCATTTTGGCGAGCACACTTGATTAACTCCGAAATATTTTTATTAATTATTATTTATTGAACAGGTACGCTTCAGCGAATGTGTTAGCCGACTATCCAAATAGTCGAAATTTCGACAACACCGGCCTCTTTGTGATCTTCATATTAATTCCCCAATAAAACGCCATTCGTCTCAGGTGATCCTTCAATCATAGTCGCTGTGAAAATATGAATCTCAGAGGTGCGTTTCCTATAAAAAAGTTAACATCATAATTTATGTTATGGCTATAGGCTAATTATATATGATGGAACAACGAGCTCGTTTGTTGAAATATGAAATAACTCGGTTTATCTGTTCACAGCGATCCGATGCTTTGTTATTAGCGGACAGTCTACGAGATCGTTCTGCGTGCAACACTGCGGGAGAAACAACACGGCCAAGAATCAACAAACGGCGACGAGGACAAGAATTTTCAAACTCGCCGGAGTCGCTGCATCTACTGCGTGTGCAATGTGCCTGCGCTAACGCCAGGCGTGTTGCTCGGATGCTGTGTCGTGAAAAGCTGAGAAGATCTCGTGAGATCTCCATATGACCTTGCGGCGTGCGGCGAGTTCAAGTTCACGGCGCGCAACATGCGTATGGCGCGCCGGGATAATGAGTTTGCTTTCGAGCATCGCGCCGCTCGATAAGCGATCGATGCGTCGCGTTATTTGGACTAAATGCGTGTAAATTAACAAATAGAATATCTCTAAACAACCGAATAATTATCGCCCGAAACGGACTTGCCTTCCATACTCGCTGGTTGTCCCGTTCGAGGCGCAATGCGTGCATCTCGAGTTGAAATTGATTGATGAGAGCGCATTTTTTATATTAAATGCGCACTCAAATTTTAGTTACGCTTGTCGATGGAAATTGATTTAAATTGCATGGTTAAAATCGTACCTAAAAACTTGAGGTAAAAGTATTGTCAACACCTTAAATAAAAATTGTAACATATTGTATTCGCAAAAGTGCACCATGTTATTTTTCTAATAAACGTAACTGAAACAAATACTTCTGCCTATCTTTTTAATTTGACGTTTTCAGGTTTTTTATTGGTATCGTTAATGCAGGTAATGTAGCTAATTTTTAAAGGGACTCTTTACAACTTGCGAATAAAGATAAATGAAAGTACTTATACGAGAATACCTAATGTAAAGCTATACTACACGTATATTAGTTATCGTCTTCGTTATATAAATATATTTATGTTGTTATACGAGTATGTCGAAAATTAATTCACTTTCTTCTCGTTTTTCATTTCCCTCTCTTAGCTCAAGAAACTATATATAAGATACATACTCATTTCACCTTCTAAATCCTTTGGAAGTACCTTAAAATGTGTTTTAGAAATTGGCATTTTTACGAAAATATGAAAACATGGAGTGGAAAATGCTTTGTATCTGTTGAATTAATTCCCTTTCTCTGAATTTCTCGGCGTCACATTATAATTTAAGAGACTTGTTTTACAATACATACGCAATTTTAAAGCACAAAAGTTTCCCTACTTTGAACCCATTTGAAAGTGCCCTAAAATGCCCGTTAAAAATTGGCATTTTTCAAAAAAATTAAAAACATAGTGTGGAAAAGATCTTGTATACCGCGAACTAATTGACTTTTTTAAAGTTTGTCACCGCTATTTTAAAGTTTGAAAGACTCTCTACACGATGCATACACTTTCGATCTTCGAGCCCTTTGGGAAGTGCCCTAAAATGCCTTTCAAAAAGGCATGTAATTAAACGAACTTTATTTTTTCGATTTTTAACTTGTCAATTCATTAAATGCACTTATAATTAATGTTTGCACTTAAAAATACAGAACTGAAGTTAAAAATAAATATTTGCACTTTGAAAAATGAATTCCACTTGAATAAAATGCTTTCCACTATGAAATTAATACTTTGCACTTATAAAACTTGCAGTATTAAGTACGTGCCGTACTCTTAGCCGGCCCCTTCTATCAATCGCTGTGACGCCACATGTTGTAAAACAGAGGTTACTGTTGCATTTCACCATATGATGTGAAGCCGAGCAGGGAATGAAACAACACGAACATTAGCAGTTAAAAGACAAAGATTGGAAGCAATAGCCGATTGTGAAAGGGAAATAGAACAAGCACACTCTGCACAAAGTATTTCCATGGCTGAGGTTCAACCAGGTCCAAGCTCAGGCATGTATCTATACAGTTATTACTAGTTGATTCTAAATACAGTATTTTATTTATTTGCTTAAAAGGGCAAAACAGATGTACTTCAACTAGCAGAGTGTAAGCCAATATCAACAGACAAATCAATACAAATGGATACTTGTTCATAAATTCATAAATTCAGAAGTAAAAGCACACAGACTCTAGAAAGCTATATGTCAGTACCAATGAAGAACAGTCAGATAGTGATGTATCATTATGTACACAATCAACTGTGTCTGTGACTCACTCAGACTCCTCTTCTGCAAGATTATCCCTTTACAAGTGAAAGCTTCTTCAGGAAGTAGTGGTCTAAATGAAGAAATGATTCAACAAGAGATGGAGCAAAATATTCATAATACAATGAGGAAAATTAAGAAAAAGCGAAGGTTCTACATTGGAGTACCAGAAAGATGCTATTGCTTAATCAATACAATAAGCAAACACACAAGCATTCCAGAAAAACATATATTTTAAAGCCTCATGCTTGTATTAATAATATTCTATTAAGGGTACTCAATGAAGTAATTATAATCACATGTGCCTTAATTAATTTACAAGACTCATTATGTCTTTAAATAAAGCTGTTTTTAAATAAAATCCTGAAAGCATTATTAGTGTATTGTGAATATATTCTATGCCCACATTAACACAAATAATATCTACTTCTTTGGTAGTTTCAAAGTTACTGTCAGCAACACACAAATAACATTTTTTCTTGCCAGACAAAAACATTTGCAGTTGCACTTGTGCATAATATTTTTTTGTTAGTTTTCCATGTCTTACATAATTCTTATATGTATCTGCTCGTGTCGGGCATTTGATTTCTATTACAAATTCGTCACATATTCCATCTGGCGAAATTGGCCACTGTAAAACAGTCAAT